AAAATCGACAAAAAAGTTCACAAAAACTAAAACTTGGTTTATGGAATGTCCGATGTTGCTCTCAAGAGAGTAAGCTCCAACTAATTGCAGAGCAAGTCATCGAACGTAAGTACCACATATCAGTGATTACCGAAACAATGATGGTCTTCAAAACCATCATATTAGACAAAAATACAACCCTCCTTAACTCCAATCCTGACATAAACGACTGTCGGAACACCGGTGTTGGCTTCATCATTATTAACCAATCAATGTTTACTGCCACCAACCTTAAGGAGGTAGATAGTGGAATAGCTACCATTAAAATACATAGCAAAATCACTAACTAAACTATTGACCTTATTGGTTGTTATGCCCCAACTGAGTCTTCTACTGAGGATATCAGTAAAGAAAACTTTTATCTTAAACTGAATAACACAATCAAAAAACTTAAACTAAATAAATTTCCCATAATCATATTAGGTGACTTCAACTGTATGCTAGGCGTGGACCTTCACACTTACTACCCTAGTATCGTGGGGAAAGGTCCCAAGCTTGAACCAGAGACATCAACAAATAGCATGGGATTTATAAACTTATGTGAAACATCAAGTCTGCGAGTAATGAATACATTCATTACTAGACCAACTCATAGGACTTCCATCTGGGTACACCCCAAGACCCTAACTGAACATATGATAGACCTAGTATTAATAGAAAATAACTCTAAGTTGACGGTCTGTGACATACACAATAACCGGTCTATGGAGGCTAACTCTGATCACTACATGGTCACAGCCATACTTAGGCTAAAATACTTAAATAATAAACAGACCCCAAACACTAATAAGAGACCCGGACGAAGACGTCGGACCATCAAAACATACTAGATAACTTCAAAATGAATATAATCTAAGTCAAATAGAAAAAACAATCATACAAGCAGCTAATAAAGTCGGCCACTAAGAGATGGCAACATAGCATAAGTGATTTCTTTAAAAATGAGATAAAACATAGAAAACAACTAAGAATAGCCTGGCTAAACAGTCCTACGGCCTCCAATAAAAACCTCTATATTCAAGCCAATAAGATAGTAAACAAAAAGCAACAGACCAATATATCAAAGATAGAATAGACGAAATGAACTCCTTCTTCAAGAAACATGACTTGCATTTAGCACATAAAATGCTGAATGACATATTGGCTAATATTCGAAACAAATCAAGTTGAAGATAGTGATCTTCAATATCATTATCAGAACCTATTTATTGCTAAGTCAAAACTAAATACTACTCATCCATCCATAGGGGGTACCCAGGATCCTGAACTTAATCTAGATGAAATAAAACAAGGTTTAAAAAACATGAAAAACCAGACTACTTACGGTAATAAAGGCATCACTACTGAATTGATTAAACATGGGAGTAGTAAACTGACTAACATATTACTAAATATAATGAACAAAATATGGAGAAATCCGTGCACTATGCCAGACCACTGGCTAGATGCAGATGTAATAAGCATATACAAAAATAGAGGATCAAGATTAGACCCCAATAACTATAGGAGTATATTCCCGCTGGACACAATAGGAAAGCTATTTGAAGGCATAGTCTACAATAGACTTGTGCAACTAACTGATAGGTATCTCCCATCAACTCAATTCGGATTTACAAAAAACCTAGGAAGGAATCATTCAATAACAACACTAAGACACATAATTCAAACTAGATTAGACACAACCACACCATTGTCCGTAACATGGGTAGGTCTAACCAAAGCGCTCAACACTATACCAAAACAATTAATAATATACACACTGACTAAAATATGCCTATTAAATAATATAAACTCTTGCATAGACAAACTACAAGATAAATTTAAAGGCTGTTATATCCCAGTGAAGAATAAACTACAGGTAACTTTCGAGGACTATTAATTGACTAATATTCTATAAATATTCTTATCGTATAATTATTCAAGAATTACATTATGTGTATTTATATTCTACTTATTATAAGCTTTGATTTGAGTTATGGCTTGTCTATTAATTACTATCTCCCGCGTTCACAGCCACTTTTTGGCTTATTTGTGTACATATGTTATTTTCTATTTTATGGTACATTGTGGTCTGCCTGATTGAATATATAAACCGGGTATGTCTGAGATAAATGATTCGATTCATATTACGGAAGCTGCTATTGTGTTCTGGACTCAAGTGGACGGGTTAGAAGGACATAGGACCCAATAAGGACGATAGACTGCTCAGACCGATTGAACGTCATTGGTCTTGTCATAGTGCGAATATTTGTATAAGCCGTATTCTGATTGGTGGATAAGTCACGTGATCGTAAGCCGGACATTAAAATCATAACAAATTGGCGACGTGGATTTTGGCAAGAAAAAGTAATACAACAATTGGTGACTTAGATTTTGGAAAGAAATAAGCTGTGATAATTGCCGGTGATTGATTTGGAATTAATATCGTTATTGGCAGTAAAAAAGTATGGCGATTACTTTAGAACAGTTACAGTTATTGTTACAGCAACAGCAGCAACAATTTCAACAACAGCAGCAAGTTTTAGCTTCTCAACAGAGATTGCTAGAAACACTTTTGGGAAAATTATCTATTCAACAAGATATTCCAGAACATAAAAGTATCGAGTCATGTCTTAATCCAGTTTCAGAATTTATATTTGATTCAGACAATGGTCCCACTTTTGAAGCATTGTTTGGCAGAATCGAAGATATTTTCCGAGTAGAATTTGCTGCTATGGATGACGCAAAGAAAGTCCGGCTGCTCTTACAGAAGCTTGGTCCTAACGAGTACCAAAAGCATAAAAATCATATCCTTCCTAAGCACACAGGAGAAGTTAGTTTCGAAGAAACTGTAAACATCCTAAGTAAAATGTTTTGTGAACAGGCGTCCTTATTCCGTATCCGGTATAACTGTCTACAGCTGACTAAAGAAGCTGATGAAGATTACACTACGTACGCCGGAAGAGTAAATTTGCAAGCAGAACGATTTAAATTAAATGTATTAATCAGTGATCAATTTAAATGCTTATTATTCATTTCTGGTCTAAACTCTCCTGTTGATGCTGATTTTCGCATGAAATTGTTATCCCGTATGGAACATGATGATGAAATGACGTTACAATCTATCACCACTGAATATCAACGATTAATAAACTTAAAACAAGACACAGCTATGCTGGAAACCAACAGTGAGGCGCCATCAAATTCTGTTCATGCTGTCAAGACAATTCAAAGACAAAATAGTACCAAAAGTCATAAATATCACTCGAAAACTCCTAAACCTGCAACTAAATGTTGGTATTGTGGTGCGTGGCATTTCTCAAGATTTTGTCGGTTTAGAAATCATAAATGCACTATGTGCAATAAAGTTGACCACAAAGAAACAGTCTGCCGAACTAGAGGAAGTTTGAGATCAAAACAAACCAGGCGTCCTCACCAGTACCGAAATAAGTATATAAACAGTATATATTCCACACTGGCTCTAAGCGTAGCGAATAAAAGAAGATTTGTGGAATTAATGGTTAATGGTGTTCTCGTTCCGATTGAACGTCATTGGTCTCGTCATAGTGCGAATATTTGTATAAGCCGTATTCTGATTGGTGGATAAGTCATTAACCACTTACAAAATCACCTAACTAACGTTTGTATGAAGATATCAGTCTCCAAAACGAAAGTCATGATTAAAAATAAAAAGGATAACCTAACAGTTGTTAGAATAGACAATAAGGAGATAGAGGAAGACGAAACATACCCATATCTTTGCTCCACCTTAAATATAAAAGGAACCCCTGACAGTGCGATAATCCATAACATAGAAAAGGCGAAATCTGCGGTGATTAAATTTAGACCAATGCTTAGATGTGAGGAACTTAGCCTTCGTACTAAAATCAAACTGGTGGATTCTTCCATAATCCCTATTCTCACATATGGACTAGAATCCATAGTACTAAGGAAACAAGACTGGACCAGACTAGAAACAGTTCTAAATACAATACGGAGAATGATCTTAGGCATAAACGATAAAAAAACTTACCGCAGAACAACTTAAACAAACAATAAACTTACCTAACCTAGCCAATAAAATCATGCAAAATAGACTAAACTTACAGTACGCCGCGCATATAATACCAAATAATATAATGGTGAGATCAGGTATATTTCCCCAAAATAATAGACAAACGTCAACTAAACTATAAGTGTAGAAAATGAAAACTGCGATAGAATATTCGCAAAGGTCAAAGAAATGAATAGGCATTATAGAAACCATCATCAAAATAAACTGAGTACTGCCTCACCTTATAAATGTCCCCTGAATGACTGTAGTAAGACGTATAAGACTTTGGGCTGGCCTAATAAGCACATTGAGTCGTGTCACCCACAACATAAGTCATCAACACAAGAGACTAAAATACAAATAATAGAAAATAAATCCATAAACAATGTAAATAAATATCCATACCCTGGCTGCACTAAAAATCTCCCAACTAAGAAAGGTATAGTCAATCACTGTTATATAGTACATAGATGGTCAGCAATTACCGGACAGGAAGTCAAACCAAAAACCGAAAAAAACCTTTAAAAGCAACTATTGAGCCTCGGTAGTTGTGCCCAGCTTCTATGTAGCCTCGTCTCCAGAAGGGCCTACTAGGCTTCACCAACTTGTTTTGCTGGAAGGGGCACCTCAAGAAAAACATAATTAACTAGCAGTTTTAACCCTTCATGAGTGTGATTTTCCCTCGGAAATTGTTTGTAAAAACGAAGTGATTGGTTATATGATGATGGTAATTCTGTAAATTATGGTTCGAATCATAACGTACATTGTGCTGTTAATGTTGAAACCTCAATTTCATATAATCCTAAAAGAACTGTAAATTAAACGGTTTATTTATTGAATAACCAACGGATTTATCATTGATTGATCTTGCTCTAAACTTTAGAATAAAGTTGTACTTTTACTACGTTAACATCTAATCTTTCACCTTGTCCTATGTAGCAGCTTTTTTGAAAAAGCGAGAGCATTATAATATTGTACTTATATGTGGATTATTATTACGTTCTTGCCTGTTATGTTTCATCGCTGTATGTCACATCACTTTTTGGTTTCGAATTATGTACATAAAAACTGGTCTCATTTAGTGAAACGTTTTCGCTATCGTGATTCTTTTTCACATCTTCTACAAGATATGATGATGAGATTATAATTTATAGACGATCTTAGTGAAACGCTAAAGTGGCCTTTAGAATGCTCAACACCCTACCAGAATCAAAAGTAGATTGTAGATTAGTGTAAGAAATCATATATAGAGTCGAAAGGTCGGAGATACGGTCAGGAGTTTAGGTTTGAGTTTTCATCACGAACTGATGTAAGTTATAGTGTCATCTAAATGAATGAATTTCTTGAAAACATCCAAAACAAGGCATAATCTTGCTTGTATTTGTTATTTACGTTGCTAAGTATGAAAAATAAGTTGGGAATATCGAATCATTTATGCAATCTGCACAGTAAATTGTTTCATGATAACCCATATACTACTTAGTCGTAATAAGACCTGTGGATAATTAATTCCAAATCATCAGATTTGTTAACGCGTTTTAGACATTGATGCCTGTAGGTAGTCAGGATAATTATTCGGTACAGTGGCGTTTTTGTTACATATCTCATAATATTATCATTATCAAATTCTGTAGTATTCCAAGTGTATAGTCCTGCTTTTATCATTTTGAAAAATTTGGTTTGAGAGTGATGTGACTTGAAATTGTTCTTGTATTCAATTACTTTCGATCAACTCTTCAATAATCTTAGGTTTGACGGTTATCATGTGTTACTAACCCGTATTCATGTTTTTTTGATGATTTCCGTTTGTCAAAGTGCTTTTAGTTTTGTTTCTTAGACTATCCTTTATTCGTTCTTAACATCGGATGTTTTTTTCGAGTTGCTTTAGAAAACAAGATTAAGGTTAGAAATTTTAATTAAGGTCATTATTCACTATTTCATATGCTTGGCTCTGAGCTACCATTTTTGTTTGTTTTATTGATATAGTACCGTTATCGAAAGCTTATTAGATAAAAAGGGAATCTGGCATGTTCATGGAAATTTGTTGTTATATTTTAATTCCATTGAGAATATACAATCAATGTTGCTTTCTATTTAAATAAGAATTTTTTTAACGCCCCGGTAGACTTGTTTACTTTACGTAATTCCAACCACCTCCTAAATTTATGCGCGATGTCTGGTGTATGAGTAGTCCAGAAGAGATTTATGGGTGACTAAAGTAAAACGTGACACTACTCTATAAAATCGTTGGTAATTGGATATAACTATATCAACAGGTGTAGACTGTGACTAGGGTCATCGTGACCAATGGCTATGGACTTCAGGCGACATGACCCAGGCTCTTTGTCTTCCTTCAGAAAGTGAATGGTCAAATATCTCTATGCTTTTGTTTTTCTACGCCTGGTCTGCTATCACTGATACTTTTACCAACACTTCTACTACTACCCTGGGATTTATCTTTATAACTGTATCTCTCTTTACTTGTGTGGCATGGGAGCTTGGATCAATTCAGGTTCTACGTTGCTCATGATTGACTGACTGGGATAGGATTTGAATTTCGCAATCTACTGATTAAACCCGATTGTCGTAATCTCTATTCACCACTTTATTTTACTTGATACCTCAGTGTAAGATCAGTGAGGTTATAGACAACTAACTGTGGATGAAAAAGCAGTCACACTTTTGAGCATTCGTAGTGATAGCAGCATTAAATATTTTCTCAAGAATTATCAGTATTCCTAGTTTAATAATCCATTATACATCACGTTCACATCTCACTCCATCTTATCATGTTTAAACAACCAAATAGCATTATTCTATTTATAACCCCAACATAGAGTATTACTGAAAACTTAGTAAATATACGTAGAGTTGCGCACATAACAATTTTTAGAATTCTGTCTTACTGGATCACTTTTCTTCTTCCCCACCTGATCTTAACTTCCAACGGTAAGCTTTTTAAAGTTTTCAACCAATGATTGCAATAATCAAGACAATTACAATTTCGTTCAATTAAAAAAAAATTATCGTCTGGTCTTTGTGGTCACGCTTCCAGACGTTTTAGATAATAACGCAGTCAGTTGATTATTACTTAGTTAGGTTATTTATCAAGGTTTGCTAGTTGATCCATGTCGAGATTAGTCCCAGTGAAAAACTATGTTTATAGCTATGATTGTAAACCCTTGTAATTCCAATCATTTACACTCATTTATGTCAATTGTTTCACGCTTTTTCTTATCTCAATGTAAAATTCTAATACATATTTGGTTGTAAGCAGCTGACGAGAAACCTCGAAATATTATGATTTCATACTATTCTGCATCAATATTTGTTCTTGCTTCATTTAAAAGCTATATCGTTAGTGAAGTCAATCAAATTGAGTTCCATTAGCGATTGAATGATGTTAGAGATTAAAAAATGATACATTAACTAAATATTTATTGCATTGATTATCAAATCTGAAGAGTTTGCACTCGATTCTGTATAAAGTTGTAGTTACTCTTTATTAAGTTCCGAACTTAGATAAATTATCTAACCAGTGCTCGAATGATTTAAATATTACACTACTGTTCAATATCCGTCTACCAACCGAAGTACGAGTGTCCTGCGCGGCAGTTCGTTCCGCCCTACTTTATAGCTGTGAAAAATGACCGGTAAGAGTAGAAGATATTCGTAGGTTACTAGTATTTGATCATAGGTATCTTCGAAACATTGCTCGTATATCCTGGGACCACCAAGTAAGTAATGCAGTTGTTAAGAAACTAATACTAGGTAAGGATGGCAAATCAATTGATGAAGTAGTGAAACTTTATCAGTTGAGATGGCTGGAACATGTGTTACGCATGCCCAACCACCGACTGCCCTGATGTGCTATATTTTATGGTGTAGGAGTAGGTTGGAAGAAAGCTAGGGGTCGCCAGATCAAACCATGGCACAAATCCATGAAGTCACTGATAAGTGGACTGAGTCATGTTAGTAGGTGTAGACTACCTGGTTGAGGACCACGAGATGATATCAACCATTGGTTAGAGATCTTGAATAACATGACTTAAAATCGTTTACCATGGCTCAGGTGCATCTACTCTTTGTGTTCTTCCAAATTCTAATCTTTTGAAAATTTTCATATCCCTTATTTTTTCTTTTCCCAAATTTATTTCATTGTATTATACTCCTTGAATAACATGTTCAAACCCTAATCTTTCTGATTACTGCTTATACTCCTTTTACTAACTCTACCATTATGGGATTTGAATCAACAACTGCATCTCTGTGCATACGTACAAAGTTCTACATTGTTACTGACTGACTGACTAACTGACTACTATTCCATTCACATAAATAATCATTCATTTTATTATATAATTTTTTATAGAAATGATATTCATTTCATCAATATAGAAAAAGTATATGAAAGTATTGGTTTAATCAAATTGTAGATTACAGTTTTAACCATATCAATAATTATAATTTGATTGAAATACTTTATATTAAAATATATACAATAAAGATATAAATCATTTTTATTTATGATACCTTAGAAAAATCACAAAAACAAAAACAAAACAAAAAAAAATTTCATTGATTCACATCCCTATTCTCAATTTTTTTTTTGTTTTTTTGTTGTTTTGTGTATGCATGTTCATCTTGTTAATAGTTTACCAATATAATGAATTTATAAAAGTGGAAAGTGATTTAATATCTTTTATCACTTAATTATTTAATAGTTTGTGTATGTTACAAGTAAGAAATTTTTCATTGATTAAAAATATTTTTTCAATTGGCAAATCAATTTTGTTCATATGGAATGTAATTACTATAATTTTTGGCTAAGCTTTTTATATTATTATTGTCATTATTATTACTATTATTACTATTACTACTGTACTACTACTGTAATACTACTGTAATGCCCTGGTACGGCCAAGAGTGGGGAGAGTCCGCTCTCCCTCTCGAAATGCTCTCACATGGCCATGCGTATATAGCCTCTGCCAGGGAAGTCCTACACACTGCCTTCTCGTGGCGGGGGTGTTGTTTCCGAAAATGAGAGGACGAAAAGCGAATGTCTGGCGCTTTAACCGGACCCCAAACCAATGGTGCACATGGGCTAGCTCCAGTATCCTAAAGGAACAAATGGCGTATGAACCAATCGTTGGTCACCGGCTGGCTACCATGGGACTGCATCTCCTTACGATGCTCCACTGCGTTGTGGATCAGACATTCAGGTCAAAGGCTCGGGGTGTGGCCCCCTAAGAAAACCACCTGCTCCGGTTTGGGCACCCGGGCAGTATCACAGCCCTCACACAAATCAATTGAGATTTGTGTGGCGCATATGTACTTGGTGCCTCCTTGTACCAATACCTATGTGTTAAATAAATAAATAAATAATCGTTATGATTGTTATCATTATCATTTATAGTCACTTACACCACGTGTGGCGTCGATTACCACGACGTACAATGATAACCGGTGTTAGGGATAATTAGAAGAAAGTTAGAGGTGGCCAAACAAAAACGTGACATCAGTGTTTGAAGTCACTAACTTCTAGTCTGAGCCATGTTGGTAGATGCAGACTACTTGGTTGGGGTCCGCGTGACTATCGTAAACAATGGTTGGAGGCTCTTAGGGACATGGTTCAGAATCGATCACAATAGTGTAGGTGTATACACTATCTGTCTTCCTATAAACTATGAGATTGAAATCGCTTCATATCTTTCTTTCTACCAGCTAATTATTTCTCCCTGTACTATACCCTTATATGCGATCTTTCTTTTGTATATTACCACCATTGAATTAACTACTTCTATGAATCCGGTGTTCATGTTGTTGTGCTAATGCGGTATGGCAACTTGGACCGATGCATATGTGTCTGGTCCTATGTTGTAGCTGACTGATTGACTGACTAAACTTACGTCACTCCCATAATTAATCTCATATTTCGTTCCCTTTTTTTTTTTTTTTTTAAAAAAAACTAGAAATACATTTACTCTTTTATGCATTAGATGTATTAATAATGATAAGATTTCCAACATCCTATACATTGAAATATCGTTGATTATTTGATCATTTTATTTACAACAGATGTTAGGTTTATCTATATTATGATATGATCTTGGGTTGATTACTATGTTTAAACCAGTAATACTGATATCAATTAGTCAGTCAGTCAGTCAGTAACAACGTAGAACTTCGTACGTACGTACATCAGTATGAGTTGCCATACCACATTAGCACAGAGATGCACTTGTCGATTCAAATCCCATAGTGATAGAGGTAGTAAAAGTATAAGCAGTAATCGGAAAGATTAGTGTTTGATATTTATTTATTTATTTATTGTCTCACGCAGAATTCCGTCTTCTAGTCCCATTCAGAACACACACAAAAAAGTCAGTGTAACTTCTATATTTAACAAACCAATCAGATATAAGTTAATAAGTCTTAGATTTTGACACAAAATTCATCTATCCATCTGGTTAAATAGAGTTTTGACATTATAGCTTATATCATTTCGTGATGAAAACTTTAAATATCAATTGTAAATCATAATTCTAATTCCCCATAATGGTTTATAATCCTCATTAGGTGAACAATCTCAAGTTCACTCTTGCGTCGCTCAAAGGTTATCCACAAATTATAGTTTCACTATTTTAACTTTTAAAAAAAGAAACACTGATTTTATAGTCAAAGTTTACAATTAGAAGAATATCACTGGTTGAAATCATGAATCGATTGAAGCTAGACCACCATGGAAAACCTGGAAACACTGGACGGCCGTTTCGTCCTAGTATTGGACTCCTCAGCAGTGCTCATCCACAATCCCACTCCCCGCGAGATTCGAACCTAGGACCTATCAGTCTCTCGCTAGGCGCTTAACCAACTAGAAGAATACAAGAAATAACCCCACAAACTGAATGTCTAATTAATACATGTTAAAAATATAAATATTGACCTGTGAAAATGAACTTCCAAATTTTGTTCTTCTCATTTATTTGTCTTATCTTAACACATTGTTACTTACCAATTAGGAACTGTTAAATATAAAAACCAACTTATGGAAAGTACTTCCTATATTTATTCTAATAGAGTACACATGTATATAATTTTCATGATATTCTGTTAAAAATAACTTTCTAATGATTACTTAAAAACTACAATGCAATGAATTTAAATAGTGTATCTTACCTTATCTGGAAACAACTTCCAGTGTTTAGTAGTTTAATACTTATTTATATTCTTAAATGTACACGTTTAATTAATTTTAACTACCTACTTATTTAAGTTCTAAGTTCAAATACTCTCTCACATTTTAGGCCTAACTAAATGAATAACATGCAAATTACTTACGCCTGTTACTCTCAATAGAGCATAGTCCACCGACCAGCATTCTCTAACCCACTCTGTCCTGAGCGTTCCTTTCTAGTTCTATACAATTATTGTTCATTCTTCTCATATCTGTTTCCATTTCTTAGCGTAATGTGTTCTTCGGTCTTCCTGTTCCTCTTTGATTTTGAGGATTCCATGTGAGGGATTGACTTGTAACGCAATTAGATGCTTTCCTCAATGTGTTTCCTATCCACTTTCAGCACTTCTCTCTGATTTCTTCCTTTGATTTGTTCTCTCCTACAATAGGTTGTTGGTGATTGTGTCTGGTCAACAGATTCAAAGTATTTTATGTAGACAACTATTAATCAACACTTGTATCTTCTAAATGATAACTTTCGTAGTTTTTCATGTTTTCACCTTATACATACAACTAGAGTTTATCAAATAAGATATATAGTTATACAGTTTGTTTGATGATATTTGTTATATTGAATTGATAATACTTTCTTTCAAACAAAATCTTCTTTTTTTTTCTTTTTCTTCTTCTTCTTCAGATTTTACATGTCTCAAAACTTTGTTCAATCATTAAAAAGAATGTGAGAAATGCTTCAATTTTATTGTTTCTGAAAGAAAGCTTGATATTGTATGGCTAATCATTAATATTCTATTGTATATTATTTTAATATATTAAATGTATGTAAGTACATTATTTACATTGTATATGAATTGTAAACTTTTTTCCCCCCCCCCCCCTGTATATCGAATATTTCTGTAAGGTTTTTGTTCTAATGATGTATTATTAATATCAGTAAGGTGAAAGCATAATGTTTGATAAAGTACTATAATTAAGTTTCATATTTGAACTTTACTCCTCTAAGATAAAGGTCCAGATAGATTGTTGGGGGATGTTAGATCCCTAGAACTCACTTGGGGAAGGATTTAATTTTGTAATTTTATTTAGAAAATTTGAATTTCTTTGTTTTTGCGCCAAAAGCGCTCTTATCACCTTCATGTCGTATTTCCCACTTGGGAATTATGTTAAGTGTTATTGGTCCGTTGCATCTTTTAGTATGCTATTTGGTAACTCTCCCTAAAGAAGGTTTTGTGCTGTATATATACGTCTTGATTTGTGTTTGTTGTAATCGCTCGTTTCTGGCTGTTTACAGAATATACTTCCCCATTCCAAGCTTGGACTTCTTCCTCTAGTTAGCAGGGCTGGGATGCATCGAGTGGCTAGCTTATTGATCTTTGGTCACCAAGTCTTTGTTCCGTCCGCAGATTAAGTGAACTCGTGATAGCTTCAAACTTAGCACAGATACATAAGATTTTCATGTTCAATGAATTCTCATAAGTAAATTGTCTATTGTGAGTAGACTGATTGATATGGCTCAGAATCGATTACAATGGCGTAGGTGTATACACTCTCTGTCTTCCCTTCAACTATGAGATTAAAATTGCTTCTTATATTTGGTTCTACAAACTAATTCTATCTTCCTGTACTATATCCTTATATACAATCTTTCTTTTATATATTACCACCATTAAATTAACTACTTCTATGAATCTGATGTTCATCTTGTGCTAATGATTGAGGTGTGGCGACTTGGACCGATGCATATATGTGCCTGATCCTACGTTGTAGCTGACTGACTGACTGGCCAATTAACTCTGAATATCAACTAATTCAATTGTAACATTAAACATGTTTATTAAAATTAAAAGGATTCGTTGTCATAACTTATTCACATCATACATTGTTTTATTGTATATTCAATGTTTAGATATATTTCGAGGCCACTGTTAGATAATTTTTCTAGATGATTTTGCTTGTTACTATCATTTATCATTTGTGAGTTAGTGTATATATAATATATAGGTTATTGCTTAATTAAAGAAGCGACATCCTAATGATGCTATTAGTTGATTTTCAACCACTGAGCTGCAGGTTCGATCCCCTTTTCTCTTTGTTCACTTTGGAGAAAGTTGGGTAATATTGCTAGATTTAATATAAGGCATTGGTCAATTTCGTAAAGTTGCATTCGACTACGATGTCACATTACAAATATCGACCTAAACTACTTAGTGATAACGTTTCAAACAGTTAATCTAGCTGGCCCGAGTTCGAATCCACCAGGAAATACTGTTTTTCTCAAATTTCAGGTACTCTTTAAAGACCAATGTGAAATAGAAAAAAAAATTTGGTTCACGACTTTATACTGACTATCTAAACCAATCACAATTTTGTAGTTAGTATTCAATGATCATTTAAAACATATTAGTATGGAATTTTCAATAATCACAAACCGGTAATTATTGAATGTAATATGTCAACCAACTGGTTAATTTGCTGTTAGTGTTTGTCCTGACCTTTGTTGCTACCTTGACGTGGTGGTCGGGCTTGCCTATCGTGATGAAGCAACTGAGCTATACTGGCTGGAACAACCGTTCCTCAAGTTCCTACCATGCCAGACAGGTCGGTTGAAGAGCGGTAAGACTAAAAGCAACAAAACCAAGGTCCGAAGGCGAAGTCGTACTGCTGACTGTACAGAGGTGTGACAGCAGTAAGGTGTTTCCTTCAGACAACCAGCATAACAGCGATTCTGCCTTCCCAAAAGGAAGGGTGGGGTTAGAAAGGGTCGACCCTAAAAATGAACACCTCGCCTTATCCCATGGATATCCGTCTCCGGCGGTAAGGTCTCAACAAGTACGAACTAACACAAAAATTACTCATAAAAAGGTCGTGTGTGACCGACCTCAAGTAGTTTTCCCTTGGGCACTGCGGTCACGCTCTCATGTCACTAAGACCATCCCTAATCCAATTTCCTTTTCAGGCACTTCCGGCAGAACTCTTCTACGGTGTGGGCAACCGGGAAGTGATAATCACCCTCATACCTCTAACAGCACTCAAGACCACTGTATTCATACTCAACCTCCCTCTTCAATTCCTATTATTCCTCTTACATAGATTTTCAAATCTAAACTCCCTCTTTCGGCTTCCTCCTCAAGTGTCACCACAGCCAACGATTCTTGTGCGCAAAACACTGTCCCAGGTCTACTGGAACCTCGCTCCAAACTACACATTGGAGCCTTCAACGTACGCACACTATGCCAAATCGGTCAGCAGGCTTCCTTGGCTAAAACCTTAGAATCTCGTACGATTGATGTATGCTGTGTCTCAGAAACACACATACAGGATCCTAGCGTGGTCATTCACTTGACCTCACCTCGGCGAAACGGAGAGCCGACGATATACACCCTCCGTGTATCTGGCGACCCGATGGCTAGTTCTCGTGGACTTGCAGGTGTAGGCATAGCACTAAGCATGAGGGCGGAACAAGCGCTATTAGAGTGGATCCCCGTTAATAGTCGTCTATGCGCTGTTCGGCTGAATGGCTCCGTAAGAACTCGGAAGGATAGGGACACACGTCGTTGCCTTTTCGTCGTTTCTGCCTACGCTCCCACTGACTGCAGTTCGGATGAAGTGAAAGATGAATTTTACAGAAAGCTGTCTGAACTTCTTCAGAAAGCTAAACGTTCAGACATAGTACTCGTAGGAGGCGACTTTAATGCCCAGGTAGGTGGCTTAAACGAAACAGAAAGACATTTAGGTGGGTATTTTAGTATTCCGGCACAGAGAACAGATAATGGTGATCGTCTGCTGCAACTTTGCTCAGACAATCGTTTATTTTTAGCAAACACAAATTTTAAGCATAAGGAGAGACATCGTCTAACATGGCGAACCCCTGCACCAAACCAACGATGGACTCAAATAGACCATATTGCCATCAGTCATCGTTGGAGAGGGTCGGTAGAAGATTGTCGCTCATTCTGGAGTACCTGCTTGGACTCCGACCATGCCCTGATACGAGCACGCATCTGCTTGCGCCTCACTGGACGCAAAAGAGCCACACAAAAAAGACTCATTAGAACCGAATTGAGTAATGAGAAAACCAAAAGTAGGTTCCAGGAACAACTGAGGTCACACTTAGGTAGTTCTGAAAACGAGGCTGACCCCGATGTTGATTGGAAAGACATACAAGCAGCTGTGGAAACAGCAGTGACATCTACTAGTGATTTGAACCACAGGGTTACAAAGAACCAATGGAATTCTTCAAGGTCTATTGCACTGATAGATTCTCGCAAACTCATCCCATCAGGTTCTGAATACGATGAAGAGCGTAAAGAAATCAGATCTAGGTTAAGCAAAAGTCTAAGGAACGACCGTGAGCAGTGGTGGGCAACGAAAGCAAAAGATATGGAAAAGGCGGCGGCTATAGGGAACACAAGACAACTCTACAGACTAATAAAAGAAACTGGAATTAATAAGTGAAGTGTAAGTCAGACTATTTCGGAAAAAAACAACTCTCTCATTTTAGCTAAAATCTGGGAGTTAGATGTTATCACATCTAACTGGTCACAATCACTTATCGTCCCAATATTTAAGAAAGGGTCAAAATCATCCTGTGACAACCACAGAGGGATTAGTTTAACTAATATAGTATCTAAAATACTAGCCTCGATAGTTTTCGGACGCCTAACTAAGACTCGTGAACTGCAAACACGTGAAAATCAGGCTGGATTCAGACCTGGTCGTGGATGCATCGACCATATATTCACCATTCGTCATGTTCTAGAATACAGGCATACTTATCGGCGTCCGACAATGGTGGTATTCCTTGACTTAAAAGCAGCGTTTGACTCTGTAGACCGAGAGGTTCTGTGGCAGTGTCTGTCATTGAAAGGCGTACCTCAGAAGTACATAAACCTTGTGAAGGCTCTTTACTCGAACACTACTAGTCGAGTGAGAGCTTATGGCAAACTATCATCTGCTTTTGCAACCTCAAGTGGTGTCCGTCAAGGCTGTCCACTTTCTCCATTTTTGTTTAACTTCATCATAGATCTACTGATGGAAATAACGCTGTCATCGACTGACTTCTCGGGTATTGATCTCCTACCAGGAAGTCCACTTATTGACTTAGAATACGCAGATGACATAGTCCTGTTTGGTGAAGACGCTGATGAAATGCAGAGTCTTTTGGTAGCACTGAGCAACAATGCCAGAATGTTTGGTATGCGCTTCTCTCCCTCTAAATGCAAGTTGTTGCTTCAGGACTGGTCTGCGTCAACACCTGAACTAAGGATAGGGGGTGAAGTAGTCGAACGCGTCGACAACTTCACTTATCTTGGAAGTCTGATCAGCCCTAATGGGTTGGTGTCTGACGAAATCTTAGCACGGATTCGAAAAGCTCGTTTGGCCTTTGCCAACTTACGTCATTTATGGCGAAGGCGAGATATCCGTCTATCAATTAAGGGACGAGTATACTGCGCGGCAGTTCGCTCCGTTCTACTATACGGCTGCGAAACATGGCCTTTAAGTGTAGAAGATACTCGTAAGTTACTAGTATTTGACCACAGATGCCTTAGAAATATTGCGGGTATCTGCTGGGATCACTGGGTAAGTAATAGTGAGGTTAGACGTAGGGTATTAAGGAATGATGGTAAATCAGTTGATGAGGTTATGAATCTTCATCGACTGAGATGGTTGGGCCACGTGTTGCGTATGCCTGAACATCGATTACCACGATGCGCAATGCTAACCGGTGTTAGGGATGATTGGAGGAAAGTTAGGGGCGGCCAAACAAAAACGTGGCATCAGTGCTTGAAGTCACTAACTTCTGATCTGAGCCATGTTGGTAGATGCAGACTACCTGGTTGGGGTCCGCGTGACGGTCGTAACCAATGTTTGGAGACTCTTGGTGACATGGCTCGGGAACGATCACAATGGTGTAGGTGTGTACACTCTCTATCTTCCTTTAAACTAAGAGATTCAAATCGCTTCCTATATTCGGCTTTACGAACTAATTCTTTCTTCCTATACTATATCCTTATACACAATCTTTCTTTTATATATTAACATAACTGAATTAACTACTTCTATGAATCCGGTGTTGATCTTGTTGTGCTAATGCGGTATGGCAACTTGGACCGATGCATATACGTGCCTGGTCCTACGTTGCAGCTGACTGACTGTTAGTGTTTGTATTTCATTTATGCTTTCTTTCCAATAATTTTTTAGTTGAGATCATGAGTCAATTGAAGCTAGACCACCATGGAAAACCTGAAAGCACTGAACGGTAGTTTCGTCCTACTATGGGACTCCTCAGCAGTGCGCATCCACGACCATAATCTCAACTATTAAAATTACTATAGTATCCACAAAATCTCTTCTGGTATTAATAATTTTATAATTTAGATTCCCTTTAAAAATTATAACACACATACAAAATAAACTATGTTCATATCCAATTTTAGTGAACCATTAATCAATTCGAATAAATCACCTTCATCATCGTCGTCATCATCATCAAGTCGTGATTTATTCAGAACAAATTTAATAAATAACCAATCAAATCTTTCTACTGTTAAAGTGAACCCGGTGAATAGATTACTGAAACGTATAACATCCCCAACAACTATTAATTCCTTATCTTCTATTGTTTTTTCCACTCCCTCTAATAACAATCCATATAATTTTGATCTTTTATATAATTCTCCTACTTCATCCATAATTTCTGATGAAGCTGATCATCACCAGATGATCATCACCTCTACTACTAATACTACTATTACTACTACTACTACTACTACTACTACTACTACTGTTACTGCTGTCCTTCCTATTCTTCCATCTTCTTGTTGTAATACTATACAATCATCTATCAATAATTTAACATTCAATAATGACAATAGTACAATATCATCAAGTGATTTATTATTATTTTCAAAATCTGAACAAAAAAATCTTACTGATTTATGTATTCATCATCTTAATAACGAGAATGATGATAATAACCCTATCATTAGTTCGCCCAATTCTCCAATTTTCTCTAATCTTATATGGAATACTAATCATACTATAAGTGGTAAGAATAAAAACCATAACAACGAACGAGCAGCTATATCATCAGTGAAAAAAGAACATACAATGAATAATAATAATAACAATAATACTAATAATAATGCTTCATCTAATTATTCTACTATTAAAGTTAATTCAAATGAAACTCCAACTAGTTTAGTAAAGCAACCAGTTCATCCAAGAACAACATTAAAATGTCCGTTTTGTGATAAAGTAAGTATGTATTTTTTTTCTCTCATCATTTTGTTAGATTACATTACGTAACGTATATGTATTAAGTGGTTCCAAGTAGTTGGTAAGATACCCTGAACCTAGGCTTCTTCCTTATTGGTACTGGACTGTAGGGTGTATCTATAATGTTGAGAAAACATATGTCTCTTGTGGGATTTAGATCCATGTCACCCTGCTTTACAATCTGTAATGTCACTATAGGTTTCGGGCTATATGGAATCTCGGTGGAAATGTTTCTCACTGTGGACATAGGTCCAGTGTTTCTTGTTGATCACATTTATTTAATATCTCAGCATAGTATGTTTTATGTTGAGTCATCGGGATTAGTGGCCACATTGCAACTTGATCGATAACATTCAATCAGAGCTAAAAAAAAAAACACTAGACAAATACGACATTGGTCACTACATGGTGTTCAAATAGTTGTTAGTTATCTGTCAGCTATCATCGACATAAAACTTGGAACCGATGTGTATTGATCTGATTTCCTTCACAACCTTAACATGATGAAGTGAAATTGAAAAGGTGTATAGAGATTGAATTAACGTAATATTAATGAGTGAAAAACGTTTTTACAAATATAATTTTCCTCCTTAATGTCATTTAGAATACTTTTGGAGAAAACAAACGAGATTGTAAATGTATGTGTATTGTTCTCTAATTCTGTGGTCTTATATCTTTTATTTATTGTGTTGTATCTGGTTAATTCATCTGAATGTAAATAAGTAGTGAGTATTCTAGACCATCGACTGTTGAATACATGGCATTGGCTGATTATCGTGCTATACTGCAAATTCATTGTAGTTGGAATTGCACCATTTGACGCCTATCCAATAACTTCAATGGCTAAGCTTCCTCAGCGTGATCTGTAAGTCTTGGGTTTCACCCATAGATAGGTCGTACATGTACATCGCTGAAGAGTCGCATACTAGGGCTAAACAATTGTCTAATGTTCCTTGGTTTTCAATGATATCTTAAATGAGGCCGATATATGACGAACACGACCTACATATAAGTTTACTGTTGTCTGAAACGTCTGAATGGTTACTGAATTTATTATATTTCCTGCTGATTTTATCAAGAGTAAAAGTGTACTTTTTCAATTAGAACATAAAGGAAGGATATTGTTATATTTTCGCTCTTACGGTTATAACCCAGCTATTCCTATCGCTTAGTATTCACGGTCACAGATTCACTCGACAAGGCCCCAAATCAGAACACGATTGAGCAGGAAGGAGATTATATTCCAAATAACAAGGTTAGGTGGAAGCAAGAAGCAAGAAGTAAAATAGGAAAACCGTTAGTACATTTATAGCTTTTTACATAAGAAGAATCTAGAAGCTTCTCCATGTATAGACTAGCGCTGATTGGATAAGAATCAGCCAATCAGCGTGCGCCGAAGCAATCGTGCATTGAGCATGCTTAAATCCAATCTATGTCCCACTAACACCTCCCCTTTGAGCAGATTCGTAGGATCTGGTGCTAGGGTCCAACTGCAACCGAGTGACTGGCCTGTGCTTTCGATTTGTCCATCGTCTAGGCAATAAAGAAGTATCACTCTTTGCTTGCACAGAAACTGACCTGTCTGTTCCAGGCGTTTTGATTTCAAAGGTGTCTAGCAGAACATCAAGAGGTAATCGATATTGAATCTCATTGCTGGCTATCGAAGTTGCTTTCAATTGGTTAGCATGACGTACCCAAACTTCTGAGCCAACTGACACCTCATAAACCACACTCCCCTTCTTTTTCAAGATCCGACCAGCTGTCCATGTAGGATGTTTCTCACGATAGTCCATAGCAAGTACTTTTTGTCCCACCGTGAACAATCGTTTTTGTGCCCCATGATGTCGATTGAACTGATTCTCCATAGATAGGTTTCGTTGAGGCTCAAGAGCTGGCGTAGGACGGATGACATCGAAATGTGTTCGTATTTTTCTGCCAAGTAGAGCTTCTGCTGGAGAGACCCCGTTAATCGTCTGAGGGTTTGGTGTAGAGCGATAAATAAGCAGGAACCTCTCTAAGATCTCTTCGGTGGTCCCCTCCCCTTTAGATTTTTTTAGAGCATTTTTAAATGTACTCACAAAGCGTTCCACTTGACCATTTGATTGGGGATGGAATGGAGGTGTTCGGACGTGATGGATTCCGTTCTGCCGACAAAATTGTGAGAAAATTACGGACGTAAACTGTGTTCCGTTGTCACTAACTATCAATTCCGGGACTCCGAAACGACTGAATAGTTGACGTAGCTTACTGACTGTGCAGCTTGCAGTCGGGTGTTCCATGAGAAAGATTTCTGGCCACTTGCTATATGCATCAACTACCAAAAGGTAAGTTTGTCCATGAAGTGGACCAGCAAAGTCCAAGTGTATACGCTGCCACGGTGACTGTGGTATTGGCCATGATTGCAGCTCTGCTTTTCGCGGTGCTTTCGTTGCTAATGCACATTTGGTACATGAACGGGATAGCTGCTCCAGTTGAGTGTCTAAATGCGGCCAGTATACATAACTTCGTGCTAATGCTTTCATGCGATTTATTCCAGGATGTCCTGCGTGCAACTGTTCAAGCACTGCTGGTTGTAGCTTCTTTGGGATTATGACACGTTCTGCAAACAGCAGGCAGTCGTCGATGATTGAGAGAGAGAGTCTACGCTGGTAAAACTGTTGAAGCTCTGTGGAACTGATCTTCGTGGGCCATCCTTCCAGGTGGAACTTTCTAACTTCTTGTAGAATCGGGTCTCGAAGAGTTTCTTCTCTGACTTCATCTGACGACACTGGAGTGTTTCGAATGGCATCTGCCACTATACTTCGTATTTCTGGGTCTACTGCTATGGAGGCAATGATTATATCCTCTGGTCCAGGATGCTGAACTCCAATTAATCGAGAGAGAGCGTCGGCTTGACCGATAGTATTTGTCGACTGATACTTGATATTGAAATCATAACTCAGGAGCATTGTTGCCCAGCGCTGTAGTCTATTAGACGTATAGACAGGGATTCCTTTCTTAGAACCAAAGATTGCAATCAAAGGTTTGTGATCTGTCAGTAGAGTAAATGTACGACCATAGAGCATTTTATGAAATCTTTTGACAGCGAAAATGATCGCAAGAGCTTCCTTTTCAGTTTGACTGTAGTTCCGCTCGGCTGGGGTAAGTGATCTAGCAGCATGGGCAATTGTCTTTTCTGATTTGTCCGGAAACACGTGAGATATCACTGCTCCAACTCCATGACTAGATGCATCAGATGCAACAACAACTTCCAAGCTGGGATCGAAGTGTGTCAAAAGAATCTTTGAGCTGAGCATTGATTTGACTCTGTCGAAAGATGCTTGACATTCTGCTGACCACTGCCAAGGTTTATCTTTTGATAGTAATTCATTCAGGGGACCTCTCACTCGATGCATTTCAGGCAAGAATGTGCTATAATGACTGATTAACCCCAAGAAGGATCTTAATAAAGAGACATCAGTTGGTGCAGGCATCTTCTGAATGGCTTCGATGTTGGCAGGGTCTGGTCGGCGACCGTTCTTATCTAAGATAAAACCAAGGTATTTGATGGAATGCATAAAGAAAGTACACTTTTCCTCACGTAGTTGGAAACCATATTCCAACACTCGGTGAAGGACTTGATGTAGTCGATCAGAAAGTTCATTGTCAGTTGAACCCATAACTATGATATCATCTAGATAAGCTGCTGTACCAGGTATACCTGTTAGCATCGTATCCATTATTTGCTGAAAGATGGCAGGTGCAGTCTTGATGCCAAATGGTAGACGGGTGTATTGAAATAACCCTCGATGAGTGTTAATGGTCAAAAGCTCTCTACTGTCTTCATCTACTTCTACTTACAGATAGGCATCGGAAAATTCTATTTTCGCGAAACATGTCCCACCATTAAGTTTGGCAAACAGGTCTTCAGGAACTGGTAACGGATATTGATACACATCTAATGCAGCATTTAAACCGGTCGAGAAATCGGCACATATGCGTATAGTTCCATTCGCCTTCTTAATCACTACGATCGGTGCGGCCCATGCAGAGTAGTTGACTGGTTGGATTACACCAGCCTGTTGCAAGCGATTAAGTTCCTGATCGACTAACTCAAGAGCAGCATATGGTACAGGACGTCTCGGACGAAAAATAGGTTTGGCATCTGGTTTCCGTGGTAAATGAGCTTTCATCTTGGTACAGTGGCCAAGGCTATTCTAAAAAAACAGAGGCAAACTTTCTTTTCAGTTTTTCTAGTAACCTTTCACCTGTCTTCTTTGCAAGTACTGGGGTGTCTAATGATGAACACAATACGTTGCAGACACTGTTAATCGGTACATCCATTATTCCAAGTTTATCTAACATATCTAGACCAAGAAGATCAAGGTTTGGCCGTTCTGTTAGGTAACATATTCCTGTACAGTTAGTTCCATTGAAGGAAAATTCACACTGTAATTCACCAACCAGTTTTAGCACACCACCTGATGCGTTTTTGGCCGTTTTCTTAGATGGCTTCATTGGCGGTTTACCCAGCAAGTTATACGTTTCTCTAGATACTAAGGTGATATCTGATGCCGTGTCAATTTGAAGACGAGCTGATATGCCGTTTATCTGGATGGTAACATACTTTCTCCGAATGTCATAGTTTGTTTGAAAGGCAGCTACCAGAGAAAGAGAGTTAGGCTCGGCTGAATTCACATGTCGAGAACATTTATGCTTTTTTTTGGGATGAGACGTATGGTTCGGTGGACAATGACCTTCTTTATGTCCACGTTTGCTGCACACCTGACATATATGCTTTTTAAATGGACAGAATCGTACATAATGCCAATCACCACATAACCAGCATGCAGTCGTTGGTTTATTACGAGTTGTTATCGGCTTCTTAACTTTTAACCTAGTAATAGCATTGACACTACTGCAGGTTAAATTAGGATTTACCTGTTCAATCAAATTGTTGTCGTGTCTGATGCTTTGTAGCCGCTTACACTCATTTGTTAACGTTCTGAGTGTGACGTTTGGGTCTTGATCTAGTCGAGCCAAAAGTCTAGTCCTGATCTCAGCATCTTGTGGTGACTGAAGAGCTTTGATGAATATTAGGCATTTAAATTGGTCTTCTGTCAACGAGCGTAACTTGAACCGTTCACATTCTCTGTTGACGATGTCTGCTAAAACACCATATTCATCGGCTTCGCGTTTCACCAAATTTAGACACTGATGTCGAATACTAAACAATGAGGAGGATTCACCGAATATCTCTGACAATTGAATTATCGTCTCCTCGAAACTGAGCTCTCGAGGTAACTTGGGCAATATATGGTCAGCATAGCGTGCATGTTCATTAATTCCCAACTTACGTACCAACAATCGAGTCTTCCACGCGTCGTCTTGGTTACAGAATTCTATTCTAAATGTATCTTCCCAACGTTTGAACCACGTGAGAAAAGTATTTCCGCTTTCGGGATCATAGATGAATTCTGGTATGCTGCTAGCAACTGCATCACAAGACGTACTTGAAATGGCATGTGAACTCGAGCGGTGGAAGCTAAGCTGTTGAGTCAGAGTCTCTAACAACCGCATTTGTGCATCTAATTGTTGTTGCTGTTGTTGTAGTATTCGGTTAAGCTGGTCGTCTGATATGGACATATTGAATTTATTTTCCTTTTTCCCCGTCGCCACTGTTATATTTTCGCTCTTACGGTTATAACCCAGCTATTCCTATCGCTTAGTATTCACGGTCACAGATTCACTCGACAAGGCCCCAAATCAGAACACGATTGAGCAGGAAGGAGATTATATTCCAAATAACAAGGTTAGGTGGAAGCAAGAAGCAAGAAGTAAAATAGGAAAACCGTTAGTACATTTATAGCTTTTTACATAAGAAGAATCTAGAAGCTTCTCCATGTATAGACTAGCGCTGATTGGATAAGAATCAGCCAATCAGCGTGCGCCGAAGCAATCGTGCATTGAGCATGCTTAAATCCAATCTATGTCCCACTAACAGATATAAGTTTCAATGTTGATGTGAAACGTGACAATTTGTAACAGTATGCCTTTATGCTTGTTCTTAGGAAGTTTACATCCGTTTATCTGATGGATCTGTATGTTCAATATTCGCGTTGTCTCGGGAAAATTATTGACATTCTGTCGCAATACCTTGTTATAAACATTCATGTTTAGCTACAAATGTTTGCATTTAGTAAAAAAATCATTCATTCAATTGGGGGTGAAGGTTGTGTTTTTATTATAGTTATTTTTTATTCATCTCTCCTTACAATGCCATGGCAGCTTTCATACCCTAAACCCTAACAAGCAGGAAGGTGCTCAGTTATTGATATGTCATGGTGGGATTAGCTTTTGTTGAGTTCGAATTTGTTGGTTTGTCATAACTAATTCAATATATTTGATCTTATAGAGTGTAACGTAACGATTCACTTTATACATGTCTTTTTATTTTGTCTTTTCCTACTATGTTCTCAATGATTAATCTTTCTGATTATCATTGGTGATAAATTATTTCGACTGCTTTACTATTTATATTAATTCCATTTCATCATGCTAATGTTATATGGTAAATCGTGATAACTCACATCTGTACGTCTCCGTGTTGATTATGTCTCAGAATGGCGTTTATCTCACATTAAACAATGAAATGTACTTTTGAATGGATTACAATCTCTTTGGATGATTCGTTGTTGAATCTGTGTATCTAAAACTTAATCCTTTCGTATAGTTCTCTTGCTCCCTCTGTTACGGAGGCGGATAGCATGAATTAAATGAAATTTTGATTGTCAAAATGAAAGAAAATGATTGTACATCGATCGATGATATGCAATGGCATATACTTTCCCAGTGATGCTTGGTTACATGAATGGATTGTTGATACTATCCCCCCCACAAATAATTTGAGGTCAGAAAAAATATCACCAACCAGAATAATAGATTCTTTTTTGTAATGAAATTACATGCTTGTATTATAATATATGAACCTGAAAATACTATGGTAAAATATCATGGGCGATTGGAAGAATTCATTTTGCAGGCCATTCACTCTACAATCAATTAGAACTCGAATATGTTAAACCTAATTCTTAATCATCGTATCACTCTCTCTTTTCGGATAAAACAAGTCATTTATGCTCCCAAATGCCCTGGCATGGCCAAGAGTGGGGTGGGTTCGCCCTCCCTCCGAATGCTCTCACACGGCCACGCGTATGTAGCCTCTGCCAGGAAAGTCCTACTCACTGCATTCTCGCACCACGGGTGTTGTTTACGAAAACGAGAGGATGAAAAGCGAATGTCTGGCGCTTTAACCGGATCCCAAACCAATGGTGCACATGGGCTGGCTCCAGTATCCTGAAGGAACAAATAGCGTATGAACTAATTTCTTGGTCACTGGCTACCATGGGACTGCATCTCCTCACGATGCTCCATTGCCTTGTGGGTTAGACCTTTAGGTCAAAGGCTCGGGGTGTGGCCCCCTAATAAAACCAATTTCTTCGGTCTAGGCACCCGGGCAGCATCTCAGCCCACACACACAAAGACATGGTGTGGCGCATATATATTTGGTGCCCCTTGTACCAATATTTATGTGTCCAACTAAATAAATAATATTAATAAATTATGTGATTACAGATCAGTTTATTTCGAATTATTTCTAAGGCCACTAATAGCAATACAAATAATTTAATGTAGCACTCTCTTTTGTATGTAGGTGAACTTACTCAAAGATTAATAAAATTGTATGATTGTTGTGATAGGGCAGTGTTAAGATTTAAATTTTCTTATCATAGACTGACGTTGTTTCGAAAGCTACTGAAAACTAGGGAGTATTTGATAATTTTCTCATCTAAGTATGAGACTTCTGGTCGTGGGTTTAATGCTTGATTAAGTAATAAGTGTTCCTTATCTAGGAATCTGACACTGGGAATAAATAGCTATTTAATGTTTCCTATTTTTTCAGTGGTTATCTAATTAAAGTCTTCGTAATATGAAAATTAAAATGGTCTATGACAACAAACTGTCAACCTTATATACGGATATCCTGATCTGTATACTATAAAAGTGTTTGTGACTCAGTCCATCAATAATAGCATAATTTACATGAAAGGTTTTTCAAAGGAACTAGTTTTTATTTTGCGTTAAAAACATAATTTATCCCTTAATGAGGAAGCATTCTGGGTGTATTTGCATTCACACGTTGTTATTTGAGCTCATTAATGCAATAATAAACTTTATTAGTACATATTATTATCTTAAATGGTGTCTCATTATATCTCGTTAAATAAATAACAGTGGTGGAGATTATCCTCAACATTTTCAGTGTCCAATAAATTTATTGTATCTAACGTTTATCTATCCTTTTGTTCATTTAATGACTAAATTACTGCATATTGGAATGAAAATTTTCACCAAAGATTTCATTTCAAGCGTCTGGGGTTCACCGAAACATTCTTATATGAACATGTCAATTTAGTTCAACTTAACAAACAAAATGAAAATATACAGCACTCATCTACTGCAGCAATTTGGAAGACTCTCCCCGTCTCCAACATTGTATGAGCATTCCATGTACTGAAATTAATGATTGCTGTGACTTCCGAAGGAACTCGGCTTTCACCATGAGGTGTCATAACTCTTCTGAATGAAGACCTTTTAACTCCCAGGACAGATTTTAATTGGTTTCAATTATTTTTTTTGGTTACTGTTTTCTTAGCGAGTTAGTTTTCTACGGGATGGGGTCGCTAACCCTATGCCCAACCCATCTCCTTTATCCGGGTTTGGGGCAGGCAGTAGCCCCAGAGGAGCTCCAGACGGAGTTACTCATCTACTAGATTAATAAAAAATGACCAAAAAAGCTGTTGATTACAACACATTTATTAAATATTGAATACATTGTAATTAACCACAGCGATGACGACGACGATGATGATGATGATTGACAAGGCTTTTTTTAATTTTACATTTATCTTTTACAAAAATGTTTTGAAAAAAACAGTACATAATTAGACATTTTGTTTTAATTTTCTGTCTCTCTAGGTATTCAGTAATTCTAGTGCTATCGCTAAACATAAGCTAACACATAGTGAAGAACGTAAATACATTTGTATTGTATGCCATAAAGCTTTCAAACGTCAAGATCATTTGTAAGTGAATGTTGTTTTATTGTTTTATTTATTTTTAATGAATCCTTGTAATGTACTATTAATTAGATTTTTTCATTGTTAATCTTGAACAATATATACATATCCAGTTGCTGCATCTCCCCACGATGCTCCATTGCCTTGTGGGTTAGACCTTTAGGTCAAAGGCTCGGGGTGTGGCCCCCTAATAAAACCAACTTCTTCGGTCTGGGCACCCGGGCATCTCAGCCCACACACACAAAGACATGGTGTGGCGCATATATATTTGGTGCCCCTTGTACCAATATTTATGTGTCCAAATAAATAAATAATATTAATAAATTATGTGATTACAGATCAGTTTGTTTCGAATTATTTCTAAGGCCACTCCGCCTGGAGTCCCTTTCCGTGGGCTACTTCCGGTCCCAAGCCCGGATAAAGGAGGAAGGTTGGGCATGGGGTTAGCGACCCCATCCCGTAGAAAACCAACTCGCTAAAAAACGCTAACCAGTAAGTAAGTTGCTGTCGCACAATATTAGGTGATCTAGGAGATGGCCGGGAGAAAGTTGAGTGCATCTATATCAGCATAAGTTATCAATCCCATTGTTATGGGTCGTGTGATTTATTGTTTGTATCTAACAGATTTGTATACTTGATTACGGGTCAAACTCTGAGTGTAAGAGATTGTGATACTACTTAATTGCCCAAACTGAAGGCGATATATCAGGGTTCGAGTTTACCACCTAGCATTTGGAATTTAAACTTCTCAACTATGGAGTCGTACCAGAATGTATAAACGTTTTGATTAAAGTATATATGATAATCCTTATCTATGGTTGAAGAGAATTGGTATTATAGCTGGAGAACAATTGAAGTGACTTGAATATATTCATTATTTGTCTTCCTTTAAATCTCCTTAATTTCAATGTTTTTATTGTTTCACTTAAATTATTGTTTTAACAGCATCAATATCATTGTTGTTTTTTACTCTTTTGGTTTATATAGCATGTTCATTTCTTTTATGGAATACACATTTTTATCAAACTGTACATTATTTATGAATTATGGTATTATAAGAATGGGGATTTGTGTAGACTGTAGTATTTTAACGGTTGAATTCATAAGTCAATCTAAGCTAGAACACCAATGAAAACCTGAATCGTTCGCGTTCGAGGCCGAAGGTCCTGGGTTCGAGTCCCGTGTGAGGGATCGTGTACGCTCAACTCTTAGAAGTCCCATGCTAGGACGAAACGGCCGTCTAGTGTTTCTAGGTTTCTAGTGGTGGTCTTGATCGATCCCAACTAGTATAATGAATGAGAACTGTTAGGAACCATGTATGGACTAATACTATACATATATTTTTATTGTTTAATTGTTAAGTAACTAAATTATTAATATTCATATTCCTCTTATTATAAGCTTTATTTTGACCTATAGACTAGTATAATACGATTTACCGTTCTTGGGTTATATCCAGTCCATTACTTACTATCTCCTATATTCACAGCCAATTTTTGCTTAGATCTTTTACAATTGTCATTTTCTATTTTATGATGCGATCTGATCTGTTTGATTTGTATATGAACCTAGTATGTTTGAAATATATGATTCATATCTCAGAGGTTGAGATTTGTGTTCTGGACTCAACAGGCAGGTCTAAGCAGGAAGAAGAATCAATAAGGTCTCTAGACTGTTCGTACAGGTTTTATGCATGATTGATCCGATCGATAATTTACTGTTCTCTAATTTTAGCGTTATCATTTCATTATGTATTAATAGGGCATAAGGCCACAGGTTATAACAGGTCTAGTTTAGATTGACTTATGATCATTTAGATTAACTAAACATAATATTAATTGTAATTAATGTGAAATAGACATTCTCAGATCTATTCGGAACATATTCTCGTAGTTACAAATGGATTAACATGTAAAAATAAAAAAAAAACGATTGTGAACCCGTATGAGAGTGTATTGATGTATTGAAATATAAATGAAGTAGAGAAAATGGTTATTAAGTAAGTATTCATCATTTAATATAAAAGGCTTGTTACTGACATTCTATAACTATACACACTGTTGTCAACTAATAATTTGAATGTAATAAAAGCAATACAGTTAATATGTTATTATTATTATTATTATTATTATTATTATTATTATTATTATTATTATGGTTTTAAGTATTCCGTTGTTAATGTTGTGAACTGCATTCCTGATCCTTTATGAATCGCCTCGGTATAGCTATCTAATCAAAAGTTTTATAGAATAGATTACTTATGGCTAGAGGTGGAATTCAGTACCCATATTTTATCCTATTGGATAATTCTTATTTGTCTGAACTCAGTAGTTCAGTGGATAAGGCATTGAGAATTTAAAGCTAAAGGTCTTCAGTTCGAGTCCTGTTGCATATATCAACATTTAAATTCAGGTACATCCAACTGATAAGTCTTGAATAGAAAGAAGTGGATTCTACTGTTAACTAAAAACTGTTTATTTCATAAAACAACAGTCTCAGATGTAATACCTTAGTATTCTGAAAATGGTCCATTTACAGACGTTAAGTCGAAATTTTAGTCATTATTTTTGGTATCACTTATGAATTTGTTTCTTTGGAATTAAACAAGATAAACAGCTGAAAGTGTTTGCTAAAATCAAACTCATTTACTAATTACCAATTAATGTACATTTTAGTTGTGCGTGATCTAGTGATCGATCTTATGTTGCTAGCCAAACCGGAGTTGCTGAAGTGTCATTCGAACTTGCTACCTACTGGTTGAAATAAATGATTCAATCACTATATTACCACTTCAGCACACAGTATAAGCTGAGAGCATTCTCCTTATTTCAAGATATTTTATCAAAGGCAAAAAATGAAACTAATCTATTTTTAAGCAGAGATAGATTGTGACTAGCAGTGGAATCCAGGACGCACCTTTCGTCCTGTTTGGGAATGGACGTGCCTGCATGCCAGAGTTGTTGTTCACCCCGGGACTCGAATCCAGTACCGTTCACTGGATTCCACTGTTAGCCGCCATCCATCTCTGCTCATAATGTTTGTGGTTTAAATCCATATACAGGTAATGCTCACAGGATGCACATATACTGATAGGAGACTGATCGATTGCAGTTCTAAACATCAACGGGAAAATTCAAACAATCAATACAAATGAATTAATAATACTTTAATTCATATCGTTTTTTAGTGTTATAGAAACTGTTGACAAATAAAAGATAACCATTTACCCTATTTAAGAAATAACATAAATGTATTTTACTTGTCTATTTTATTGAAAACTGAATAGTTTCACACTAATCCAACTGAAGGACATTTTTTAACTGTCTGATTGTTATTAAATTTACCACTTTAGACTACACATTCTTAGTGGTTGGTTTCCAAGGTCAAATTTGAAATGCTATATGCATATCCATGTATTTTATCTTATACTGATCGGAGCTGCAAATTTTTAAGGGTTAGATTATGAATTTGTTGCCAGGGTAAATGAGTGTATACTTATGTTAAGGATGTTTTATGTTATTGTGTCTAGTTTTCGAATCGCATAACAAAGTCAATAAATACTGCCATCGATATCTTCTGTTCAACAGATATAATAATAACTATTATTATTATTATTATAAACCGAAGTAGGAAATTTTTTTCTTAGTGGACTATCCCCCAATCGTTTGATCGAGAAGTTTAATTCATAAGACTGGATCAAAGTTGGAAGCTGCTTTCTCATTCTACCTGGTGACTTAAACAAGGTTCATGAACCATTTATTTCTTCGAGATTCTGGCTCCTATGTACAACACTAGCTTGAAATCAGGGTTTTACACCTCCTCTACGTGAACCCCTATACCCCTAATCTTGTTTAAGCATTGATTAATCGCTTTTCATCATCCCATACCACATAAAGGTAGTAAGTAATAAATACTTCCCCAGGTATAAATCATAATATGTATGACTATATGAAAGAATCGCTAAAAGATTTATTTATTTATTTATTTTAACACATAAGTATAGGTACAGGGAGGCACCAAAATACATATGCGCCACACAAATCTCAATTGATTTGTGTGAGGGCTGTGATACTGCCCGGGTGCCCAAACCGAAGCAGGTGGTTGTCTTAGGGGGCCACACCCCGAGCCTTTGACCTGAAGGTCTGACCCACAAGGCAGTGGAGCATCGTGAGGAGATGCAGTCCCATGGTAGCCAGCCGGTGACCAAAAGTTGGTTCATACGCCATTTGTTCCCGCAGGATACTGGAGCCCATGTGCACCATTGGTTTGGGATCCGGTTAAAGCGCCGGACATTCACTTTTCATCCTCTCATTTTTGTAAACAACACCTGTGCCACGAGAAGGCAGTGAGTAGGACTTCCCTGGCAGGGGCTATATACGCATGGGCATGTGAGAGCATTTCGAGAGGGAGAGCGAACTCTCCCCACTCTCGGCCGTACCAGGGCATTTGGGGGCATCTCTAAAAGAAGAATAAACTCTCTCCGTAACTCTGATCCTACTGGATCATTTAGATCATATCATAGTATAAAGTTATCATCAAAATCTCGAATGTTTACACATCTTAAATAATTCAAAATATATTTGTTAATTGAATATTTAATTAGAATATTTATTCGATAAACATCATAATAATAAATAAATATACCTTAAATTATCTTTCCTAATCATAATCTAATAAATAGTTTGATTTATTATCAAATATAAATAACCAATAGCTTTGATTCATTATAAACTGAATTGTGAACAAGTACGTGATCGACCCATAAATTTTGTATACTTAGAAAAAAGTCTATCTAAATAAAGAATTATTCATTCTATCTTTTCGACTCAAATCAAAATTTATAAAATAATCAATAATTCTGTCTTAGAATTGTTGGGATATTTGTTTTTTTTCCCATGGCAATCATTAAGAGGTGTAGGAAGGATTTGAATGTGACCAACTTGGTCTCGTGTGCTGTTACAGATATGAGGGCTGATGTCACTTCCCAGTTGCCCACACTATGGAAG